ATGCTACTTGCAGTTTGTATCGGTACAGTATTCTCTGGCTTAGGACATTCTTTGTCTTCAGTTGTGGTGAGTTTCATTTTTTCTTTTTGTTTTCCTTTTTTTTTTTCTTTTAGACTATAAATTTAGTTCAAGTATTTGAGTCTCATGTTAAGACAATCTCGTTGTATACAAATTTCTGTTTGTAGCATAATTTGTTTGTTCGGAAAAGTTTATTTGATGTGCCTACCACAATCTTGCTCTCGCCTTCGTAGCTATCGAATTATGGTTTAAACACATCTTTTAATGTTTCTCATTCCTTTTATAATGTTTGTAAGATTAGTGGAAGACACTGAGAGGGAGAGGAGTGACATGAAGTGTTTTCATTAACTAGTAAGATTACTGGAATTTAGTGCTGAAAAAGGCTACTGGAAGTTATTGTTGAATATGCAATATATTTTTATTGCCTGTTGTTGATACTCGTAGAGAACTGAATATATCCAATTTATATGCTCTATTTCTATATCATTCGTTCATTTTTCCTTCTATTGTCTTAAATGCAGACAAGAGTTGCAGCAATTTTTGTATTTGTTTCGTTTACTTCTCTTCTAAGTGTCGCCGGAATACCTGCTCTCATGAGGGAGATTAAGGTAACACTCGTTACTTGGACTTTTATCGCAGAGATGAAACTCCATAAAAGAAAGCAGTTCATTGTAACAATTCTTGTAATTTAGTGGATTCAAGGCGTGATTTATTATCTAATGCATCTCAGAGTTCATGGAAGCAACTATACCTATTGTACAGAAATGTTCAATCTCTTCGAGTAATTGCAAACCTTAGGTTCTGTAGTTTGGTCCCATTTTGATGAAAATGTTTCTACTCTTTGCAGATATATACTAGTGAAGAATCTAATCATCATTCGGGCGCTTTTGTCTTCCTTTTGGGACAACTTCTCTCCAGCATACCCTTCCTCTTCCTCATTTCAATTTCTTCAAGTCTCGTCTTCTATTTCCTCGTAGGACTCCGTGATGAATTCAGATTGTTGATGTACTTCGTGCTAAATTTCTTTATGTGCCTCTTGGTAAATGAAGGACTCATACTGGTTATGGCCTCATTATGGAGAAACATCTTCTGGATCGTTTTGACTCTCATATCTGCTCATGTATGTTCGCTTATTCCCGATTCATTTCCGAAGAAGAAAGTATATTTCTTGAGAGTTCTGGCATAGATGTGCTTGTTAATTTTGTCTTCTTTGACGTCTCGTCTTTCAATGTCACCGTCCTCATTTCTAACCGATGGTACATATGTTGTTTCAGGTGCTAATGATGCTCTCAGCAGGTTATTTTCGAATCCGAAATGCTTTGCCAGGTCCGGTCTGGACGTATCCGTCATCTTATATTGCTTTCCACACCTATTCTATCCAGGCAAGTTTACTTGTGACTCTTTGCTTCTGCATATTGAAACTGGTTTACACTGTTTACAGTTCTGCCTTTGGTTAAATCTGGATAAGTTCCCTTGTGGGCCATTTCTATAGAATTGAAGAGATGACATTTTTTAGAATAATATGAAAAAAATTAAATGTATCTCAATCCCTTTAAACTGGAACAAACTTTTGCACAAGTTGGTTACTAAAATTAAAACTGTACCCCAAAGAGCCTTTCCATAGCCTTACAAAAGCCTATTCAATTTTGTGGATAATATCTTTGGAACCATGAAAAACAAGATATTACCCTCCCTGGGTTTGCCTAGTTAGCCTAGAAGGGGAAGGGGAAGGGCTCAGGAGGAAATGGGTTTAAGCCATGGTAGTCAGATAGATAAGATTTAATATACTGTAAGTTACCTTGTGAGATCCCACATCGGTTGGAGAGGGGAACAAAACATTCTTTATAAGGGTATGGAAACCTCTCCCAGGCATACGCATTTTAAAACCTTAAGGATAAGCCTTGAAGTGGAAGCCCAAAGAAGATAATATCTGCTTGTGGTGGGTTTGAGTTGTTACAAATGGTATTATTAGAGCTAGACATCGGGCGATGTGTCAGCGAGAAGGTTGAACTCCAAAGGGGGGTGAACACCGAGCGGTGAGCCAGTGAGAACGCTGCACCCCGAAAGGGGTGGATTATGAGATCCCACATCGGTTGGAGAGGGGAACGAAACATTCTTTATAAGGGTGTGAAAACCTCTCTCTAGTAGACGCGTGTTAAAACCTTAAGGGGAAGCCCGAAAGAGAAAGCCGAAAGAAGACAATATCTGCTAGCGGTGGGCTTGGGCTATTACATACCCTGAAACCAAATATAGTAGGGTAGGGTCTGTTATTGTTTTTGAGAATAGTTGAAGTACAAGCAGACTACTCCGAATATTCATGGATATGTATGATATTTTGTCAATTCAACGTGATATTTGAATAAGGTCTCTCTAATATAATATTCTTTCTTATTTCATACTATTAGTCCTCAAATTACGCTCAAGAAAATCACTATGAATGTATCAACTCACATAGGAGATTGTTAGCTGAATGAATTAAACAATTGAAGTATACCTCTTGGTGTTGTACAATTCTTTTGTAATTACAGCTTTTGATTATTATTAACAATTGAAAGGCTCCCTTTTGTTAGCTTTGCAAGGGCTGTAATGTGGTTGTTTTGATGAATATCATCTCTTATGAACAAGTCATTTAACCTTACCACTTAAGCTTAAAGATTAGGATTCTTTAATGGACATTATACGGTTGTTACAGGGGCTATTGGAGAATGAGTATCTTGGAAGTTCCTTTGCAGTTGGTGAGGTAAGAAACATAACTGGTTACCAAGCTCTCCATAGTGCATATGAAATCTCTTCTAATACTCACTCCAAATGGAAGAATTTGTTGGTGTTGTTTCTCATGGTAGTGGCATACCGTGTTGTCGTTTTTGTTCTTTTACATTTTCGCGTCGGTAAATTTATGAGTTTGCGTAAAGTTATTCGTTGTAAGCGGGATATGAAAGACTGAAAACATGACCGAAAACATGTGATTTAGTAGTAGTTTAGCCTTTTGTTCAGCTGTTTACAACACCTTTTGCTGTTTCTGTTATGCACATTCATTAGGTAATTATGCAAATTGCAAGTCTCTTCCCTCCTCTCCTCCTTATTCTCTTTCCCTCAAGGGAAATATGTGTTTTGAACCCACAAATATATATTCTTTTCATCCTCATCTTGTAACTCAATGGCTCCATTTGGGAATACTTTGAATAATCTATGTACAAGTTTATCTTGTTTTGCCACTCAACTTCTTTATCCTTAAACTAATGTTATCACCATGTGAGATCCACGTCGGTTAAAGAGAAAAACGAAACATTTCTTATATGGGTGTGAAAATCTCTCGAGTAGACGGACTTTAAAACTGTGAGGTTGATGACAATATGTAACGGGCTAAAGCGAACAATATTTGCTAGCAGTGAGCTTGAGTTGTTACAAATGGTATCTGAGGCAGACACCAGTCGGTGTGCCAATGAGGATGTTGGCTCCCAAAGTGGTGAATTGTGAGATCCCACATTGGTTGAGGAGGGGAACGAAACATTCCTTGTATGGGTGTGAAAACCTCTTTTTAATAGACACGTTTTAAAATTATGAGGCTGACGATTATACGTAGCAAGTTAAGGCGGACAATGTATGCTAACAGTGAGACACAATCAATTTTAGCGATTGTTATCAAGTAGAGATGATATTCACTATCTTATTCCTTGTAATAGTCAAATTGACCTCCATTGAGGTACGTAAGATATTTATCAATGTGGTGTCCACCTGCATAGATATTTTATGTAGGAAATTAACGAGGAATATCCTTAAACGAAGTAGACTTGTTTAGAAGAAGCAAACTTGATTTTTCAAACGTGCACAATGTTAGAATCTTATTGTCACGTTCGTAGTGATTTGATTGGATACCATTTTTGGACTAACTCGAAATTAAATTTAGTTGGTAGTAGAAGATTATGGAGGGGGGACGTATTCCCATGTTTGATTTTTGGAGGTAGGTTGGGTGAAGGTACTGGCGTGTCCTAATTCGGGTCCCTTCACGGATTTCGGCGTGTCCTAATTTGGGTCCGCATTTATGTCCAACACTGTCAGCCTTTATGAGATGCTAAACATGACTCACTTATTTATTTATTTATTTATTATTATTTTTATTTAGGTATATAAATGAACCAAGTCAAATGTGAGTGATCACGAAGGCCCAGATTCACTACTAGTAGATATTGTCTTCTTTGGGTTTTCTCTCCGCCTCATTCAGAGCTCAGCATCCTCGCTGGCATTTACTCATTTCTTTCTTCAATCGATGGGGGACTCCTGCCAAATCCACCCCCTTTGGGCCCAGCGTCCTTATTGGCACACCGCCTCGTGCCTACTCAGGAACAGCGAAGCCACTACCTTAGTAGATATTGTCCTCTTCGGACTTTCCCTCAAGGCTTTAAAACGCGTCAACTAGGAGAAGATTTCCACACTCTTATAAAAGGTGTTTTGTTCTCCTCCCAAACCAACGTGGTACATCACATAAATAAAACTAAACTTCAAAGTTATTATCAAATAAGCGTAATTCTCATTAATATTAATGTGATCGAATGATGAAATAATAATGTAAGATGTATTAAAAATGCTAGTTGAAAGATGAGATGAATAATATAATCCCATCCTCGACCCATTTAACATATAAAACTCTCCTCACTAGAGCAGGTTAAATTTTCCATCTTGTTCATAGTTGGCCCTGCACGTTAAAATGAACATCTCTAATGAGAGGAGAGAACTCTACTCCTGTCCCCATATCCTATTCAATTTGGAGGGCTCCTTCACCATTCTCTAGGTGATTTTTAAACGTGAGTCAAATAATTTGGAAGCAAAAAGACAGTTCTAAAAGTGACATTTCATAGCACTTTGAATGCATGGGATTCAATTACTCACATGCTATGGTCTCCTCCTCCAAAGTCTTGTCCTTTTTTCTCTCTTGTTTTTACCATTTAAACCATTTCAAATCTGTTTAGATATTTCTATCCCATATGGCTATGTTTAGAACCATGAAGAGGAAGATGGGTATCAAAGCGGTCGTCGAGAAGCTGCAAAGGAGGCTATCACGAAGTCGAAAATCGAACAATGGGATTCATAATGAGGATTTCGACACGACTAGGGTGCCAGAAGACGTGAAGGAAGGGCATTTTGCAGTGGTGGCAGTAGACGGGGAGGAGGCGAAACGATTCATCGTTCCGTTGAGTTGTTTGACCCATCCTATGTTCTTGAGGCTGTTGGAGGAAGCAGCTGAGGAGTATGGGTTTGATCATGAAGGTGCATTGGCAATCCCATGTCAGCCAAGTGAGGTTCAAAGGATTTTGGATGAGCAATGGAAGTTGGAGCTTAAAAGAGTTGGGGAAACATCTCAAGGCTAGAAGCTTTTGTTTTGTTTTGTTTTTGTAATAATTATAGGAAGTTTAACACGGAGGGCAATTTGGTAATTTCAGGTATAATAAAAAAATGAAAAATAATGAAAAAGGACGATTCCTAACATGGTATCATAGTCATGTTCTTAATTTAGCGGCCATGAGGGGCAATTTAGTAATTTCACATATAATAAATTATAAAAATAAAAATTTATGTAAAAAAAAAGATACCATACAATTGGAGGACCAGGAGTCCTAACATCATGGGCCGGCCATGATTCCTAACATGATATCATAGTTATGTCATTAACTTAGTCACTATAAGAAATTTAGACGTAGGGGCAATTTAGTAATTTCACATATAATAAATAATAAAAAATGAAGCTGTGACGGGAAGTCGAAACACACGTAATTAATCCAAATTGAAGATGGGAAAAGAAGGAGTGTAACCTCGATGTTTTTGAGCTGAAATTGGGAAAATTTAGAAAAAAAATAGAGAATAAACATGTCGGAGAAATAAGAAAATTCATTGTCGAAACAAATTTCAACGTCAAATTCGTGACAATCGACCGAAGGATTAATAAAATTGATTTAAGGGTTTTGTTTAATAGGTATAAAATCAATTACTCTAATGGGTTTTACTCATTAATTTAAATCAATTTAGTGAGAAGCTAACATTTTTATTTATCAAAATTAGTAAACTTTTTATTTTATTTTATTTTTTCATTAAAGTTAATGAGTTTATTATGCACCATTTATTTACTTATTTATTTGAATTAAATATTTTATGCATTAAAATTATTATAATTAATAAACTTTTTGAACACGACCTACTATATCCCACATGGGACTGAGCTCACGCAATCATCACATCTAAATAGAAAAAGTATATATTTTTTAAAAAATTACAATAAATAAATAAATAAAAAAAAGATTTTGCCATTTGAGAATCTCTAACACTATCAATATTCTTAATTAAATATTAAGCGCTATTTATTTATTTATTAAACATATATGCTACCGCTTCATTATTGACCGATTGATATATGTTTATGTCACGTATATAATTTAAAATTAAATATTAAATTAAATTATATATTTAATCTTAACGATAAATTCTTAATTTTTCACAATTTTATTTTTAATTAATTATTGACTTATTTAACATTTTTATTTTTAAATTTTTTTTAAATATATCATAGAGTTATTGAATAAAAAATTAAAAAATTAAGAATGTAGGGTAATTTATTTAATATTTTTTTTATATAAACTAAATAAATATAAAATTTAAAAATGGAATTAATAAACTTATTATTTAACTATTTAATTAATGTGCCTATTTTAAAAAAGTGCTTAGATTTATTTATTATTATTAATTTTTTACTCTCTTTCCAAGAGTCCAAAGTAAAGGGTAAAAAAAGAAAATAAAAAATAAAAAATGGATGATGGGATGGACATGATGGGCATCATGATAAACATCACATGGGACTCATCACCATCTTTAGTCTAATAAATAAATTATACAAACTAAAAATAAAAAAACTTTTGATTGGTAAAATTTATGATTTTTTTTTATATCAATTTGAGTTACATTCCAAATCAAATTAAAGAAGTGAATGAAACATTTTTTATAAAATCATGAGACTGACGATGATACATAGCATGTCAAAAGGATAATATCTTCTAGTAGTGAGTTTAGACGGTTACCATTTGAATTTTTTAATTAATTGAGTTTTTGACCGTTCACAGGCTTCAAGGATATATACTAAGGGTTATCCCTTCCTTCTTTCACTTAATTTACTTGTAAGCGGTATCATCAAATTTGAAACTAACGCGTAAATCCCACAAGCCCTCATCAACAACATGAACAACAACTTGTTGGGTTGTTCGTGTGGTGCCATTTACTTCTACAAGGGATATGAATCAAGCCACCCATCAATGATGACTGCGTCGACGACGACATTGATCCCACCACTACTAGGCACGGCTCATGGCGACTATTCGAGCAAACTCGTTAGACGAGTGATCCTACTATAACATCACGAGCGATGAGTTAGAGTGTTTTATAGAAACAAAATTGAAATGATTAATGGTTTGAAAAGAACAAAAAAAGAAAGGGGAGGGATCTTTTTGGTACAAAGGAATTGGCAGAAAGGTAATGAAGGAAAGGACACATTGTTTGTCCTATGGTGGAGTGAGGCAGTTACCAAACAAATTCTACCTTCTTTTTTAGGGCACCCCTCCATTTTTCACCCTAATTTTTTTTTTTAATTTAAAAAAAAAATGTAGGAAAAAATTTTAAAAATTGATTGTAATATATACTTATTTGGTTCGGAAATCCAACTAACCCGAAAAATAGAATTTATAATCATATTATATACATTAATAATATTTGATTTTTGTAGCTGGTATTAATGATACATCATGTTTATAATGTAATACATAAACTCTATTTGAATGGTTCGTGATAAGAAAAGGAACTACTACAAGGGGAGTAAGATTCGGATTACCTTGTTGATCGAATATCTCAAGGCAAGAACATTGTTTGAGATTCGAATCACTCCACAAGCAAGATCGATCATGTCTAGCTTGAATGATTCTTGTTGATCAAATATCTCAAGGCAAGAACACTTCCATGAGATTCGAATCACTCCACAAGCAAGATTGATGATGTCGAGCTTGAATAATTCTACATGCAACCTAAACTACATAGAATTGCAAAGAAACTTAGCCATTGGCTAAAGAATAGCACAAATGCTTCTTTTTACTATATTTTTCAAGTCCCTTACACATACAACATACATGACTTTATATAGCCTCAAAATGAAACTACTAAAGTCATTCCAAGAGTTGTAACATTCATACCTAATGGCCATAATTAACTATTATGTAATTGTAACCTATAGTAAATAAAGTCTTAAAATACATAAATGAAATACAATAACTCTAAATGGTAACCCACCCAAAATTTATAACAATCAAACTTCATTCTTCTTCAATGTGACATGAATTGAAACATCTTTTGATAATTTTGACAACCTTTTCTTCACATCTTCATTGAAGTATATTGTATGATTGATGTCTTTTGGTTCATATCAGTTCGAGTCACCAAAAAATAATTTTGGAGTTATTTTATTAAAATAATACAAATATGTACAAATAATTAAATAATAAATTGTTTTTATTTTTGTGGAGACCAAAATAAATATTTAAAAATGTGAATTTAAGGAAATAAGGAATTAGAGGCAGTGGGGCTATTTTGGGTATGGGAACTGTGATATGTAAGGCGCGTGGGGCCCACCCTCAGCTATTCAGTGACCCAATCATGCTCTCTCTCTCCTCCACCTACTTTTCAAACCAATTTCTAGAGAGAGAGAGAGAGAGAGAAGAATATTTTATTTTAATTTATATAATTTACAAAAAAAAATAAATAATAATAATTATTAAATTAAATTTTAGACTTTTAAATTTCCCTCCAAAATAAAAATAATAAAAATAATAAAAATAGACATAAAACATTAATATACACAAACAAAATAAAACACACTTCATTGGGTCTTTTTTTTCTCTCATTTTCTCACTAACCAAACAAACAAAACCCCTAAAATACTATTCCCACTTTTTACACTCTTCCTCTTCCAAATTCATTCTCTTATTACATTATCGAGCAAGCATTTGGATTCTCGTCGCTAAACATCTGTGGCGCATGTAAATTCTCCCCCGCTACCCCGCTTGCATCATACCCGTACCCATACCCAATCCCGACCCCAACCCAATGACCGTATTCATACCCGATCCCTCCCATATACTCCATTTTGTTCCCTTCCATCATCCCATCCATGACATTCTCTTCCTTGTCTTCGCCTCTACCACCGTTACCATTACCATTAACGCACTTCTTTTTCTTTCCTCCTCCGTTACCGTTGCTACCGTTTTCGGTATTGTTCTTGTCGATGTCCTCGGCCGGGGTGTCGTTCTTGTTCTTGTTCTTGTCGCTATTGTTTTTGTTGGGGTTGTTGTTGTTGTTGTTGTTCTTGGTTGGGACAATTTCAACTGATCGGTTTAGTCTCTCTTTTAAGGTTCCACTTAAGGCCTTAACGTCCATTGTGCCCTTCACTGTCACCAAATCCTTGTGTTTATCCACTGACATCTCTTGAACACCTGTAATTAATTGAAATCAGATCAGATCAAATTAAATCAAATGAAATTAAACCCTTCTGTTTGCTAAACTGTTGGTTAATCTCTAACCTTTGAACTTGGATGTTACTCTCTGAATCTTCTCTATACAGCCCTGGCAGTGCAGCGATACCTTCAGCACTGCCGTCGTCACCGGCGGCTGAAAAACACCCAACAAAAGGAATCAAACAACAAAATCTCAGACGGGGACCAATTCCTTTTTCAGATTACCTCTTTGGGTTTGTTCTTATTCTCCTCTGTTTTCTTGTCGGATTTGTTGTTACTGGTGAAGGTCTGGTCGCCGTCGTTGTCGCCGCCGTCGTTGTTTTCTTTCGGCTTCGAGTCCTTTTCCTTCTTGGGCTGCGGCGAAATCAAATCTACTTTCTTCTTCGTCTTGTTTGAAAGCTTCTCTCTCAGTTTCGATGCGTCTATTTTTTCTCCTATCACCATCAGTTTGTTGCCTTCAAACTCAGCTTTCACAGACTGCACACCTGAAGAACAAACGAAACAGAGCAAAACAGAGCCAAACAGAGTCCCATTCATAGTGTCAGATTCTTGCATTGCCGATTACAGAAACGAACTCCGATTTAGGGTTATTTTGTCTCCCCATTCGGGTGTTTGAAAAACAGAGCACTATCAATTCATTGGTCTGTAATGGCGGAAAAGGGGAAAATCGAAAACGGAGGTGTATTGAAAAAACAAACGATTACCAAAACAGGGAACAACCAGATGAGGAAAATCGAAGCGATAAAAAACAGAGAAATGCAGAAATCCGCCATAGCCATCATGATCATTACCTTCAAATCCTTTAACACATTTGATGATTTTGTTGGCACAGCCTTCACAATGCATGTCGACTTTCAGAACCACAGTGAATGGATTGTCCTCCTTCTTCTTCCCTCCGCCGCCTCCACCGCCTCCTCCATCTCCGTTTTTCTCATTCTGGTTCTTCTTCTTATTCTGCACGGCCTGAAAGAAAACCCCCAAAAAGACGATGAACACATACAGAACAAAAACTGTTAACAGTTAACCCTAAAATTGCAGTGAAGAAGAGAAACAGAGCGAGAATCGAGGTGAATCACCTCGCCCATTATGACCCAGATGGTCTTTTCGTCTGAATTTCAAAATTGAATCGAAATTAGAGATGGGAAACCGCCTCGAGAGGGAGAGTACTTATAGCGGGAGAAATTTCAGAGGAAGTGGTCTCGTTGGTAGCAGAGCATTCGCATGTGGCATACTCATGCCATCATATGAATGGATGCATGAGTTTATTTATACATGTATGTATGAATCATGATTCATGATGTTATGCCCATTTATGGAAAATTAAAAAATGGGAATAATGTTTTTTTTTTCCTCGAGAAATTCTTATAAAGTGGAAAAAAGTATATGTCAGAGAAAAGGCAAAATAAATTATGTAAAAAAATCATAAAAACAAATAATAATAATTATTATTATTAATTCCTTTTCTTTTTGCAACATATAAAAATGCTAAAAGTGAATCTTTGTTCTTCAAATTATTATTATGGTAATTTTTATTTTGATGGATTACTTATTTGTGTAAATTAATCGAGTAATTTACCTTATAATTTTGCATTAGCGTTTTCTTTAATCACGCGACAATCATTTTTTTTTCTTTTTTTAATATTTTCTAATTAAATAACATATATAACGTTCCTTTTGAATTATCATATTAAGATCAAATTATAAAAGGGATTTATTATAAAAAATAATAATATTATCATAAAAGTCGAGTCAAGCAACCTTAGAGATAACTAACATGATCTCTTCAAGTTAAAGATTTTCTCGAGATCATCTCATATATACCATTTATGACCCCCCCAAAAAAAAAAAAAAACAGATGATTCTTTCAGCAAATGAATCCAATATTTAGAACAAGAGGGTTACGATGAATCGGGTTACAATAAACAATATCATGATTCAATGCAATGAAGAATGCAGTTCTCAAATAATTTAGAAGTGGCATATGAATACAAAATGATACATGAAATAGGCAAAGATAGAATCTTATCATCGAAACGTACTCATCTTATCTTTAGGTCAGCGTTTTGATTATTGCTCCTATGATTTCCTGAAATGGTGCAAATGAAGGGAACTTTCTGGTGAATATGTTCCTGGAAGATTGCACATGAAGGGAGCTTTGAGGTGATCATTGTTTCACCATGAAAGAACTCTTACAACTACAGCCCCCAACAGCACTTGGATTTGTGGTCACCTGCACACAGACAATAGTACAAGAATTCAACTTCTGCTGCATTAGCACTTGCTCTATTGTGAGATACAAATGCATAGAACACATGGAAAAAAATGAGGCTTGTGGAGAATACTACTACTTAAGGGTACTTCACTCCCAAATCTTTCTCTTGTAGACGTCTTACAACCTAGATTTGTTAGACTCCACACAAATATAAAGAATAATAAAGTTAAAATATCATTTTGGTTCCTGTACTTCGGGTATCATTCCACTCCGGTTCTTGTAAAAAAGTTACCATAAAATAACTTCATGGACAACGTTTTAGAATTATTGAACTAAATTTGGACGTTTAAGAGTATAAGAACTGAAATAGAACAAATCGCGCATGGAAGCAAAAATGGAGGCGACGATACTGATAAAGGTTTACTCACAACGAAAGCGCAACGAATCAGCTCTTCAACATAATCAACTGTTGCTCCTTTCACAAAATCATATGAGATATTATCAACTACCAATTTAACTCCCTCCTTCTCACACACCCTGCAAACACGAAAGAAGAGAGAAGGGTAAACTTTTAAAAATGTAAAAGGAAACATCAATGACAATTTTAAGGTGAAAAACCAAAATAAGCAGAGCAAGTATGAGCTAGTATTTTAATGAACCTGTCATCTGGATTGGTTTGGTCATCCAAATTGAAAACATATTGAAATCCAGAACACCCCCCAGTTTCTACACTCAAGCGAAGCATCTTTTCTTCCATGGGTTCTTGCAATTCTTTCATTCTCTGCAAGGCATGTCAAGGCTCGGCAGAAAGTAAATCAAGACCGTTCTTCATAAGAAGTAATTATTCAACCCTTACAATACACGCAGAATAAAAGGAAAACTAAGTAGAAAAGAAGAGAGAATGAACCCTTTCAAAGATGCAGGACAACGGTATTAATATATATTTTATCCATGATATAAAACGAGTATCAACCAATTTAGCCCTTTGGTAAAAGAAAGTACATCATACATCTTATTATGAAGAGTTCATTACCAAGGTTACAAGGTTACAAGTAATATGAACCAAGAGACATCAATCATACAATATACTTCAAAGAAGAACGAAGAAAATGTTGTCAAAATTATGAAAAGATGTTTCAATTCATCTTATGTTGGAGTACCAAAAACTAAAATAGTGCACATAAATTATGACAGTGACAGTGAAATGGTGCACAAAATGAGTATAGTCCAGAAACCAAGAACTAAAACAAATTATGACAGTGAAATGGATAAAAATTGCCTAAGCATATTTGGTACATGCACAAAAAAGGATTACATAATATGTTGGAGTACCCGGATGCAATTATCTGTCATGTGAATGGTATCGGTGTGTGGAGATGGAGATTGAGCTGGAGATGTCAACAAAGAAGAGGCTTCTTGAAGAGCTGAAACAGAGGAGCTAAGAAGCCTCTGGTTCTCTCGGATACGTGCTGCCAAGTATGGAGCTAGCCGCTGACTTAGCAATCTGGGGACCATCTCTTCACTCTATCCTCTTTAAATTTGATCCTTATCTGCGGAAAACGCAATGTGCTAAGGGAATTAACATGACAAATGGGGATAATGCTTCTATCCGAGTCAATTGAAACAAAGATGGAAATGCAACATTTTGAATTGACCCACTCCAAACACAATTATAGCTATAGTGATGAAATCTAGTATCGGTTAGATTCCATATCTAGTTTCCACGACATTTTATTTTTACGTTCATGAGTGTTGAGGTTCACTTGCACGCACCTCAACTATTCTCCTAGGATACTTCCGATGCCAATGTAACTCGTAAGGTATTAAATCCTAAGTAGGAGGTCATCATGGCTTGGCCTATCCCTCTATTATTTACATAGCCCTTATTCACCACTAAGTCAACCTATAGTGGTGTGGTGTGAGATCCTACATTGATCGGTGAGTGGAACGAAACATTCCTTATACGGGTGTGAAAACCTTTTCCTAGTACATGCATTTTAAAACTGTAAGGCTGACGGCGATACGTAATGAGCCAAAACGAACAATATCTGGTAGCGGTGGGTTTGGGCGGTTACAAGTGGTTAGTTTTTAAAACTTCTTTGTAGTATAGGTATTATTTTGGTTTAGCTCTTTTTGGAAGGGTCTTTCCTCTCGTAAGCCCCTAGTATTCTTTCATTAAATAAATGGGTTTTCTTAGAGGCATGATTCGAGTTACTGAGCAATTGTTTTGTTAGAAAAACTAATGCAACAACAAACTCAAGTAATCAGAAATTCTCAATTTAAATTGGAGGGAAAGCTACTGCTAATAACCAGCCAGAAAAATCATTCTTCTTTGTCGATTCATCATCCCGTCAAAGAACACTCGGGAAATCGTAAGCAAAAGAAGGAAAAACAAGCAGGACAAAAAAAAAAAAAAAAAAAA